CCCCCAGACTTCCTGCTAAGTCATCAAGAGGTCTCAGGATCAGCTTTTCTCACTCAACCTGCAAGTCCCCCATCTCCTGCCAATAAAACCGCTTCCATCTCTGAGCCCAATTAGTCTCCGATTGAAAAAGAAAGTTGAGGACGGGAGAAAAAAAACATGGCAGGAGCTGAGTCTCATCTCCAGAGCGCACAGAGACAGAGAGAGAGAGACGGAGCGAAAACTGAGAGAAGGGGTCCAGAGTGGGTGGGACCTCTGTCATGGTGAGTGGACGTGAGACAGAAGAGGTGACGCCCAAAAAAACTCAGCAGCTCCAAAACCCAAGACACGGACTAATTAATGGAGATAACGCCTGTTCTCCTCAATCCAGTGCACACATTTTCATCTTTGGTGCAATTTATAGTTCATAAAATGGACTGTTGGCATTTTTGCTCAGTAAAATAAAATATTAATCACAAAAGTTGGAAAAAAAAAGGCTGATTTGCAATTTAAATAACCTGAGACTTCCTGGCAATTAATTAGTCTATAAGAATGTGTAAGGGCATAAACACTTTTTTTTTCTTTTCCAAGCAAGTGTCTCTTTCGGCGTGAGCTATTTTTTTTTCTGGCATTGTTACACAGCAAATATAAAATCCAATTTACCAAGTGCTTTTTTTGTGTCTTGTCTCTTAAAGCGAGTTATGAATGCAGAGCAATCACACAGTGAATCAATTTAGGAAAACATGACAACACTGCCAGCACTGCTAACAGCTTCACAGCTTTCTAAGTAGGCCCAGATGACACTTAACCAGAATAAAGCTAAGAATCTCTTTTCTCTCCAACCCTTTCATGACAAACATCAAGAGCAAAGCAGCAGGAGGAAAGCAGAAATAACAACTCGGAGATGGAGAAGACGTGTGATAATCGTAGAACTCCCTCGGAGGAACTGTCTTCAGACAGTTCAGTTGTCATGGGAATTTGATGATGGCAGTGTGACTGAGGGGGGAAAGGGTGATAATGCATATGATGAAATAAAAATATTTTCATGTTACAGTGCTTATTAAAAAACGTCTCTAACTCTGAGACAGAAGAAGTTAATAGAGGTTCTGAGCTTCGAACGAGGAACAAAGAGTTGTTCTTGTTGCTTTGAACTCAATCAGCACCTCGTAGGTGAAACAAAAAATGTGAAAATTACATCTAGACTACAAAAATGTAGAAAAACAGACCACTAAAGTCAACGTTCTACTTGTTATTCTCTTTAGCAACTAACTGAAATGAGAAAAAAACACAAATTTACGCCTCAGAGTTGTTTATTTGCACAGCTCGGCTTTGTTTCGGTACAAAACCTGGAAGCATTTTAAATCCAAATAAAGTGTTTGTAAAATAAAATGTGTAGCATTTAGTCAAGTTCATTCAAAATAACAGCGTAAAATGTTTCTGCTCTTTGGATTCCACTTTTGGTACAGTTTTTAAAGAAGACCTCCGCTTTTTTAGCTGTTAAAAACATTTTGTTGTGGACTTGGAGTCTCTGGGAGGTAGAAAAGTTTAATTTAGTCTCTCCTGCTGCGTAGATAAACTTGGTGATGACATTAGTGGTCTTCATTCTCCTGTTCTGGGTCAGACTCTGGCTCCATGTAAGGCTGGATGGACAAGTCTTCCTTTGTTGACATCTTTTAATTCATTTATAAATA